TCCCAGCTACTCAGGAGGCTGAGGCAGGAGAATTGCCTGAACCCAGGAGGCGGAGGTTGTGGTGAGCCGAGATCGCGCCATTGCACTCAAGCCTGGGTAACAAGAGTGAAACTCCGTCTCAAAAAAAAAAAAAAAAAAAAAAAAATATACTAACGGCTAAGAAACATAAAAAGATGCTCAGCATTATTAGCTATTAGAGAAATGCCATTAAAAACATGCCAGGACCAGGCATGGTGGCTCATGCCTATAATCCCACCACTTTGGGAGACCCAGGTAGGTGGATCACTTGAGGTCAGGAGTTTGAGACCAGCATGGCCAACATGGTGAAACCTCGTCTTTACTAAAAATGCAAACATTATCCAGGCATGGTGGCACATGCCTATAGTTCCAGTTACTTGGGAGGCTGAGACAGAAGAACTGCATGAACCCAGGAGGCAGAAGTTGTAGTGAGCCAAGATCGCGCCACTGCACTCCAGCCTGGGTGACACAGTGAGACTCTGTCTCAAACAAAAACAACATGGCTGGGCATGGTGCTTCAGGCCTGTAATCCCAGAGTTTGGGAGGCTGAAGCAGGTGGATCACCTGAGGTGAGGAGTTTAAGACCAGCCTGGCCAACATGGTGAAACCCCATCTCTACAATAATACAAAAATTGGCTGAGCATGATGGCAGGGGCCTGTAATCCCAGCTACTCGCAAGGCTGAGATGGGAGAATGGCTTGAACCCAGGAGGTGGAGGTTGCAGTGAGCCAAGATCATGCCACTGTACTCCAGCATGGGAGACAGAGTGAGACTTCGTTTCCAAAAAAAAAAAAAAAAAACACAACCCCACTACACACAGCTGGATGTGATAGCTCACACCTTTAATCCCAGCACTTTGGGAGGCTGAGGTGAGTTCAGTTGAGGTGAGGTGAGTTGAACAGTTGAGGCCAGGAGTTCAAGACCAGCATCGCCAACATGGCAAAACCCCATCTCTACTAAAAATACAAATCTTAGCTGGGTGTGGTAATGCATGCCTGTAATCCCAGCTACTCTGGAGGCTGAGGCACGAAAATCACTTGAACCTAGGAAACAAAGGTTGCAGTGAGCCAAGATTGTGCCACTGCACTCCAGCCTGGGTGACAGAATAAGACTCTGTCTCAAAAATAAATAAGTGAATAAATACACTATACACATACATATATAAAATGACTACAATAAAAACACAGATTACACCAAGTGTTGGTGAGGATGTGAAGAAACTGGAACACCCTCATACACTGCTGGTGGGAGTATAAAATAGGACACTCGCTTTGGAAAAGTCTGGCAGTTTCTTAAAAAGTTAACCATAAATTTACCATACGACCCAGCAATTCCACTCCAAAGAATACACCCAAGAGAAATGAAAACATATGTCCACACTAAGATTTGTTGTAAATATTCATAGTAGCTAAAAATGTTCATAATAGCTAAAAACTTTAAACAATCAAAATGTCCCTCAGTTGGTCAAAGCCAATGATTTAGTGCAACACGGATGAAAAGACAAACTTCCTTTTTTTTTTTTTTTTTTTGAGACGGAGTCTCCCTCTGTTACCCAGACTGGAGTACAATGGTGGGATCTTGGCTCACCGGAACAATTTTTTTGTATTTTAGTAGCGATAGGGTTTCACTGTATTGCCCACGCTGGTTTTGAACTCCTGGTTTCAGGTGATCCACCCACCTCAGCCTCCCAAAGTGCTGGGATTACAAATTTATAAAGACTGGAAACAGGCCGGGCATGGTGGTTTATCCCTGTAATCCCTGTATCCCTGAGTAGTCCCAGCTACTCAGGAAGCTGAGGCAGGAGAATCACTTGAACCCGGGAGGTGGAGTTTGCAGTGAAGGAAATCGCGCCATTGGACTCTAGCCTGGGCAACAGAGTGAAACTCCGTCTCTAAATAAATAAATGAAACAGTCTGAAAACAGATCGTTGGCCTGGGATGGGATTAGGGATTCAATATAGGGTATTTTGGAGGGTGATAGAAATGTTCTAAAACTAAGTTGTGGCATTTGGCAATAATTCTTTTCATATGACACCAAAAGCATAAGCAATGAAAGAAAAAAAACAGGATGATTGGACAGAATTTTTTTTGAGACGGAGTTTTGCTCTTATTGCCCAGGCTGGAGTGCAATAGCATGATCTCGGCTCACCACAACCTCTGCCTCCTGGGTTCAAGCGATTCCCCTGCCTCAGCCTCCCGAGTAGCTGGGATTACAGGCACCTGCCAGCACGCCCAGCTAATTTTGTATTTTTAGTAGAGACGAGGTTTCTCCATGTTAGTCAGGCTGGTCTTGAACTCCCTACCTCAGAAGATCCGCCCACCTCAGCCTCCCAAAGTGCTGGGATTACAGGCATGAGCCACTGCACCCGGCCAAAATCCAGAATTTTTGTGCAAGCTGGGTGCGGTGGCTCAAGCCTGCAATCCCACCACTTTGGGAGGCCGAGGCAGGCGGATCATGAGGTCAAGAGATCGAGACCATCCTGGCCAACGTGGTGAAACCTCATCTCTACTAAAAATACAAAAATTAGCTGGACGTGGTAGCAGGTACCTATAGTCCCAGCTACTCGGGAGGCAGAAGAATCACCTGAACTCAGGAGGCAGAGGTTGCAGTGAGCCGAGATCACACCATTGCATTCCAGCCTGGTGCCAGAGCAAGACTCACTCTCAAAAAAATAAATTTTTAAAAAATAAAAAAGAATGAAGTACTGATGCATGCTGCTATATAGATGAAATCTGAAAACATTATGCAAACTGGAAGATGCCAGTCACAAAAGACCACGTATTATTATGATCCCATTTCTGTGAAATATCCAGAATGGGCAAATATATAAAGAGACAGAAAGCAGATTAGTGGTAGCCAGGGATTGGGGAGGGCTGGAGGGTGATATCTAAAGGGTATATTTTCTTTTTTTTTTTTTTTTTTGAGACGGAGTTTCGCTCTTGTTACCCAGGCTGGAGTGCAATGGCACGATCTCGGCTCACCGCAACCTCTGCCTCCTGGGTTCAGGCAATTCTCCTGCTTCAGCCTCCTGAGTCGCTGGGATTACAGGCACGCACCACCATGCCCAGCTAATTTTTTGTATTTTTAGTAGAGACGGGGTTTCACCGTGTTGACCAGGATGGTCTCGATCTCTTGACCTCGTGATCCACCCGCCTCGGCCTCCCAAAGTGCTGGGATTACAGGCGTGAGCCACCGCGCCCGGCCTAAAGGGTATATTTTCTTGTGGGGTTGATGAAAATGTTCTAAAATTGATTCTGGTAACAGTTGCACAATTCTGTAAATATACAAAAACTAAATTATATACCTTACATGGGTAAATTTTATGGTAAATTGTATTTCAATAAAGCTCTTTTAAAAAAGAATTAGGGGCCGGGCGCGGTGGCTCAAGCCTGTAATCCCAGCACTTTGGGAGGCCGAGGCGGGTGGATCACGAGGTCAAGAGATCGAGACCATCCTGGTCAACACGGTGAAACCCCGTCTCTACTAAAAATACAAAAAATTAGCTGGGCATGGTGGCGCGTGCCTGTAATCCCAGCTACTCAGGTGGCTGAGGCAGGAGAATTGCCTGAACCCAGGAGGCGGAGGTTGCGGTGAGCCGAGATCGCGCCATTGCACTCCAGCCTGGGTAACAAGAGTGAAACTCCGTCTCAAAAAAAAAAAAAAAAAAAAAAAGAATTAGGGCTGGGTGCAGTGACTCACACCTGTAATCCCGGCACTTTAGGAGGTTAAGGCAGGAGGATGGCTTGAGGCCAGGAGACCCCATCTCTCCAAAAAAATTCAAGGAAAAAAAAATCATTGAGTTAGTGTGGAATGAACTCTGATTTCAAGAAAAAGGGAGGGATGAGAAATAGTTTTTAATAAAGACAGGGTCTCACTATGTTGCCCAGGCTGGAGTACAGTGGCTATTCACAGGTGCGTCCATTATGCATTATAGCCTCTAACTCCTGTGCTCAAGTGATCCACCTCCTATGTAGCTGGGACCATGCCTGGCTAATTTTTTTGTTTTTATAGACATGGAGTCTTGCTATCCTCAAGTGATCCTCCCGCCTCTATCTCCCAAGTAGCTGGGACTCTAGGGACATGCCAGAGTGCCCAGCTATAAAGAATTTTTCATAGTATAAATCAATGTAATAATGTCTTTATCTAATGAATCTTATACCAGGAGAGAGAATAGACAGTGGTTGGGAGATCAGGAAATTAGCCTTAGGCTCCTGCAAAAAGTAGAGGGCATCTGGCTGAGAAGTGGTGGAACTAGAGCCTAAAATCCTTCCATGTGTGCTAGGGATGAAGGAAAGTTCTCTTTTTTCCTCAAAAAGACACTATTTGCTCACCAAACTATGCTTGGGAGTTATGTCCACCAGACTTGGGGAGAGGTCTTTTTCTAACTCATCTTTCTAACTCATCTTACCCAGCTGAGGCTAACTTCACACCCTTGCATTATTAAACCTCTTTCTACCATAGTTAACAACAACCTATTTTTTTTTTTTCTTTTTGAGACAGAGTCTTGCTCTATCCCCCAGGATGGCATGCAGTGGCATGATCTCGGCTCACTGCAACCTCCACCTCCCAGGTTCAAGCAATTCTCCTGCCTTAGCCTCCCAAATAGCTGGGATTACAGGCACCCGCAACAACACCCAACTAATTTTTGTATTTTTAGTAGAGATGGGGTTTTGCCATGTTGGCCAGGCTGGTCTCGAACTCCTGACATCAGGTGATCCACCCACGTTGGCCTTCCAAAGTGCTGGGATTACAGGCATGAGGCACCACACCTGGCTGAAACAGATCATACTTTTCATCATCTTACTATTTGGCATCTGTAACACTAGGGACCACTGGCCATTAATAATTTGAACTTGGTCAAGTGCTGTGGCTCACACTTATAATCCCAGTGCTTTGGGAGGCCAAGGTGGGAGAATCACTTGAGTCCAGGAGTTCACGATCAGCCTGGGCAATGTAGCAAGACTCTGTCTCTACAAAAATTAAAAAATTAGCCAGTCATCATCCCAGATACTGAGGAGGCTGAGATGGATCACTTGAGCCCAGGAGTTTGAAACTACAGGGAGCTATGATTACACTACTCCCTCCAGCCTGGGTAACAAAGCAAAAATTTGTCTCTAAAATGACAGTAACGATAAAAATAATTTGAATTATTCCCTTAGCTACCTACCACAGCAGTGAACATTTATACTTCACAAGCACTACTACTCAGCTTCTCTACTTTCTGCCAACTAAAAGTAGGTGCTATCCCATGGTTTGACCATCTCTTCTGGTTTTCAGTGGTCCCAGCTTGTCCTGTTCTGGGTACTGTCAAACTTCAAATCCTAGTCCTGACCCTTCTCTCCAGGGCCTCTTCCCAACTCTTTTGATGGACATCTCTAGGAGGATCTCATGCCAGCATTTCAAACATGACAGGAGTGGTGGGGTGAACAGAGAGCACAAAACACATACATGAGAAGCACTGGACTCACACAATTTTGGCTTCAAGTCAGGAATAATGAATGGGACAAGGTGGAATGCTACATAAGATGGGCATGTAGATCTGATAAAGAGCAGCACCTGTGGGAAACAAGGGAGGCTTCCACAGAAGGGAAGGGAAATGGGTGTTCTGTAGTGAAAAGACCCAGTGGAGGAGAAGCATAGCACTATTTGGGGCTTCAGACAGTTAAAGTCAGTGCTGCATGATGCCTGGGCTTGTTTACTTGGTGTTTTCTCTTTATCAAAGCACAGGAACTTAACAAAATGTGTTGCATGGCAAAGGAAAATGGCAATGGGATAATAGGATTGATTTGGGAAGAAGTGGAGGCAGTGAATTCAAGAATTCCAACCACTTCCTAAAGGTTCTCAGGTGCAGCCAGGCCCAAGATGACTGATCTCATCTGTGCCAGGTAGGAGGAGAGACTGATCCTTCTCACAACCCATAAAGAACAGTGGGGCTCCCCCATATCTCAGACACACATAGTTATATTATCATTTTATTCCACTTTTTTTCAAATCGTAGCGACAGGGTCTTGCCATGTTCCACAGGCTGGTCTTGAACTCTTGGACTCAAGCAGTCCTCCTGCCTCTGCCTCCCAAAGTACTGGGAATACAGGTGTGAGCCACCATGCCCGGCCTATTTTATTCCACTTCAGAGACCATTCCCCTCGTCCCTCAGATGCATCCAAATCAGGAGTTAGGGATCATACTCCACTGTGGTCCTGAATCATAGAATAATGAAGTCCTAGAAGTCAGCAGCCCCTGGCTGCATGGTAGTAAGAGGTATGGCTGAGCCTGTCTTGCAGATCATCCATTACCTGTACAGGCCAGGCTGCACTGTTCTCCAGCACTCTCTGTAGCCATATGCCAGTAACTACAGCCTAGGCTACCTCTGCTGGGCCAGAAATAGCTGCCTGAACCAGGAGCTCACAGCACCATCAACTCTCATCACCAAAGCTATGCCCAGGAGAAGTCCCACGCTGCTCACAATGAAGCCCACAGCCTCAAAAATGAACCTGCAAAGAAAGGTGGAGAATCTCAGGGAACAGAGTAGGTCTAGTACCTTTTCCCTGTAGAGGCAAAACCTTGGCCATCCTGGATGTTTACGATCTTCATAATTTGTTCCACTTTTCTCCCTTCCCAACACTTATATTTCTCAAGCAAATCTACTCACTTAGGGGCAAACACTTTCCAGACCATGAGATGCCTGCGAAGGATGGAGGCTGCCAAGGCACAGGCCAGAATCTAGAGGAGGAGAGGAGGGGCCGCGTTACTTGTGAATGGGAAGAGGAAGCAGGGCAAAGGGAGAGTTGCTATAGGCCCCTGTAATAAATAGAAGCAGAAGAACACTGCATGTCAGTGGAAAAAATAGTACATGTCCTGGGCTAGAAGTTAGGAGACCCACTTCCTGTCCTGGACCAAACACTGACTCACTATGTAACTTTGGGCAAGTCATTATCCATCTGCAATGCTAACACTCAGGCTCTGCCCACAGGGTGGAGGAAGATGTCAGTGCCACATCTGCCTCTGGAGGAAAGGAGGAGGATCCATGACCACAGTTTGGGGAAAAGTTCCTGGCTATCACCTCAGTTCTTCCAGCCTGTTCACTGATAGAGTAATCCCCAAATGCAACTAGCAGGGTCCAGATCTAGGTGATAGAGAGGAAATGATCCAAGACTAGGATTAAGGAGACCCAGATTCAAGTCTCAGAGCTGCCATTTGAGGCCATTGGGCTTGAGCAACCACTTCACTTATGTGTACTTCGGTCAAGGCTCTCTCCCACGGTTTTGAAGGTCTGAAAGAAAGTGATGCACACACAGGGAAAGATCACTAACTGCCTGATCTCTCTCCTACACCCACCTGAACACCAAGGATAAAGAGGTACTTGAGGCCCAGCTGCAGCAGTGCTGCATAGAAGTGGTGAGGCGCATCCCGGAGCCGCATCTCCATCAGTGGCTCCTCCTCCTCCTCCGGTCTGACTCTGGCTTCAGCTTCATTCCCTGGGGACTGCTGTCTCTTCCGCAACCCTTGACTCTCACACAGGAAAGGCCAGAGCAGGAGCAGTGGGCAACCTACTGCCTCAGGGGAGGATACACCTGGAATCAATGGGGGACCCTGGAACCAGTCTACCCTGGTCCCCAACCACCCTAGATGGCTCAGGTTCTAATTAGCCTAGGCCAAGGGGTGCCAAAGACCCAACAAACCCACATCCCTCCACTCAAAACCAGGGGTTTCTTTTCTTTCCACAAAGCCAGAATAAACAATGGAAGCAAGTGAAGGAGGAGGGGGTACCTGCAAAGAGGAGGTGGGAGGCAAAGGTGTTGGCTCCCACTAGCAAAGCAGGCAGCCAAGTACAGGAGCCATGACCCTCTGGGAATCCCACAAAGGCTGCATGCCAATGGATGGCCGGAAAGACAGGCTGATGGCCTGTGGAATAGAAGGTCTGTGTGGCCATGAGGGCCCAAGCCGAGACTGCCTGCCATGGCACAGTAAAAGGACCTAGAAGAAAAGGTATGCCACTTTACAGTCACTTCTCATTCCATAGCCTACTGCTCCACAATCATATACTCCTGCTTCTTCAGTATAAATTCTCATACACACTCACATGCCCATCAGCCCAACCTCCTTACAGTCAACACTGTTATTCTAATTCTTTCTGAGGCACAAAAGCGCCATGACACTAATCTGAACCCTGCTGTGGCCAATCTCTTTCTCTTAAACACACACACAGCTCATAGTGCCATTATATATTCAGAATTTACTACTTCCGTCACTGGAAAATCAAGAAATGTGCTCATGAGGATGCAGCATTTCCACAAGAAGTCTTAGAGGACTCCTTGTCGCTCCCCTCTCCATGAACCCTGGGAACCAATAGGAGGAATCAATTAGCTTGGCTATGGCAGGTAAGAGAGGACACCAGGAAGACCTTCCCAGCTGTGTGGGGCATGGGACCCGCTGTCAAGCTCAGGAACATGAGGAGCAACACCTCCTTGAAAACAAAAGGGGCAGAACTCACATCACTATTGCCTTTACATGAATCAGAGCTGAGATATTTACCAGAGGTGGTGATGGGTATCCCAGCAGCAAGCAGATGTAGGAGAAGGAAGCTCTGCACAAACAGAAGCAGGAACACAAGGCTGATGCGCTCTGCATGCAACAGCAGAAGTGGGAAGGCCAACAGGGTGAGGGCTGTGACCACTGCAGCTGAGTAGACACTCCCCAACTGATAAGCAGCCACAGTCAGGGGACCCTGAGATTTGGTCCTCTCTAGCCGGCCCCGGAACTCCTCCTGCATGTGTCGGTAGATTTGAGGGACCACATAATCCAGGTCAGCTTGAGAAGTGGGGGGGCCTGAGAAGGGAGTGAGGACAGTCCTGGTCCTTGGAGCGCCTGCCCCAGCCTTCACCAGCACCGTCACAGGCTTCCAGAGCAGCAGCGCGAGCCCTGAAGCAGCCAGCCCTACTACAGCCCGAGGCAGCACCACAGATGCCCCAGAGACCAGGGCCCGGAGACGGGGGGTCACCTCATCTGCCCCCGAAGCCAATGCCCAGTAGGCAGCAGTACCCAATGCCATCAGGGGCAGTCCCCAGCGCACAAAGAGCATGGGCGGCTCAGGGCTCTTGAGATTACCATAGCGGTGAAGCCACAAGCGCACAGCAGCTAACAGGGCCACCAGCGCCGCCACACAAGCTCCATACCACAAATTCTTGGCTCGACCACCCACCATGGATGCCAGAGGACTCAGCCAGGGAGAGGAGTGGCAAACAGGTGTCTCTTCAGGGCAACGATGAAAGAGCCCAGCTAGCCTTGTACATAAAAGCAACCCAACTCCAAGCCTCAGGGCATATGCACCATTGTGCCGTGGGGAGTTTGCTGTGGCTGAAGTGGCAAGGCGGGGCATTGGGAGCAGCTTAGGTGGAAGGAGCTGGCCCTCCCAGTGAAGCTGGACAACCAGGAGCAGGATGAATGAGCCCAAAAGGAAGGGGGTGGCCCTGGCCTCAGCTACAACAAAACTATCAGAGAAGAACACAGCCAAGCGAATGAGCAGAAATAATAGGACGGGCCCAGGGATGGGAAAGAGGGTTGCCAGGGGCCTCTTAGACCCCCAGCCAGCCCAGGCTTTCCACAGAAAAGGCAGGAATGAGCTTACTGCAGCCACAGCTCCTAGAAGCACTAGATCTAGCTTCAGCTCAATAGTTCCCAGGAGTACAGCATACACTGTGGCCCCAACCAGGCCCCAGGCCACAGGTATCAGGAGTAGAGGGCAGAATGGGAAGCCTGGGGATATTGCCCACTGGGATGCCATCAGGCAGATAAAGCAGGCAGCAGCCAAAAGAGCAGCACCCCCCGCCATGCGGACCAGAGAGAAACGAGCCCAAGACTCGATGCACATGGCCCGAGCTCCCCGCAGGAACTGCTGCAGCTCAGCAATCACAGTCGGCAGTGTCGCTTCAGCCCCTTTGGGCCTCTGCAGAAGCCACTGGTAGTCAGCAGAGGCCTTGGAGAAGAGTTTCTGTAGCTGATGAAGCTTCTTAGCTTGAAGGTTCTCAGTAGCAGCTGAGTATGTATGAAGAAATCTGGACACCTGGTAGAGAAAAGGTCAGAGGCCAAGGGAAACAGGTCAGAGACATACACTGGGGCAGAGGCAAGAAAAGGTATTACAAAAGGGGGTGCCTGGAAATCAAGGACCCAAATTCTGTCCAGGATGGGGGAAGGGAGGGATAACAGAAGAGGAATATAGGTATGGAAGGTGGGATTAAGACTAGTCAAAGGACAATAGAGTGGTTCATTACGCTTCTCTCATGCCCACCCTAGCTCTGTCACCTGGAATCCCAGCCCCACTTACCTACCTGCTGAGCATTGAGATGGAGAGCTGAGGCTTGGGCTAAAGCAGAGGAGAGGGGCTGGGAGTCCTCACCCCCTGAGAATACCTCAGCCATCACTTCCCCGATGTTCCCAAATGGGATAGGCAGGCCTAGCAGCAAGGCCAGTGTGGGCACAAGGCTAACTTGAGGAATCACCTCTGGCTCCTAAAGGGAAGGGTAAGTGGTCAACAGGTCACCACAAAGCTGAAGTCAATGTTATAGATGGGAGACATAGGAGCCTAAGTAAGAAATGGGAGTGGGGAATACCCAGGATAATGGATTTGGGGACCTAAAATAGAGGTATTCATGAGGATGCTATGATGGTAACATGGGCTGATTACTGGGAGAACATTTGAGGAACATCCCAGGCCTCACCTCTGGTGGGGTGCTGGGGAAGAGTGCTGTGGGGCTGTACAGAAAGAGTGCAGCTGAGACCTCCAGCTCGCTGTCCCCTCCATGGTCTCCATTCGTGGTCATCCCATGGTCCCCAGCCACTACTAGCAGTGTGTCATTCTCCAGATGCTCCACAAGTCCCCTGGGGGCCAAGAAATGTATCAGGAGTAGAAATGGGTATTTTTCTCAAGGGCCTATTCACCCTCAGCTATAACTCCATTAGTAAGGCCTAGACCTTTGGCAGAGAGACATGTCTTCGGCCATGATCCTGATGCCCAAAGCTACACATTGAGGTATTCAAGATGGATGAGGCCTCTAGCTTCAGAGGAAGGCCTAGAGAAGACAGAATTCAGCCAGGAAAGAAGCTCTAAAATAAGAGCTTCTTCTCCTGGGACCACATATCCTGAGATTCTCAGACACAAACCCACTCCCCCAGCCAATACCCCACACTCACTGGATCACCTGGTCCATCTGGCTAAGTTTCTTGGCCATTTCAGGGTGGTGAGGGCCATGCTTATGGCCACAGTGGTCCACACCCAGGAAGTGAGCAATCAGCACGTCCCATTCACCACTGTCCACTGTGAAGGGGAGAACACTGAGCACAGAGGACTAAGACCCACTTCTCAACCCCAGCCAGCCTTTGACACTCCTCTATGTCCAGAGATACAAGCCCAGGCTGTTACACCCATGAGAGGCTCAGAATTTGTGGACTAAAGCAGTCTTCCCCAGCTCCCAGTCTTAGAACTCTGGCCCCATGCTCACTGGTGGGATAGAGGTGTTCCAGGATGCCATCGTCCACCGTGTCTAGGTCTCTGACATTGAAGGATGGGAAGAAGAAAGCTTTGGAGAAAGCTCCAGGGAAAAGGTCTTTCCAGGTATCATCTCCCATAAAGACTACACGCCTTCCTGCAGTGACATGAAAGAGAGGTCAGAGCCTGAACAAGAGTCAGGGTCAGGAGAAAAGAGGAAAAGAGGCCCTTTAAAGACCCATCAGAAGTACCAACCATGCAACCTGAAGCACAGCAATTGCATACAGCAATCCTTATCCTTCAGAGCCTAACATTTTCCACCAGGAAGTTTTCCCTGATAACCATACTCCACCCAGACCTCATACTTCTTTCCTACAAAACGCTCTGCTAGTTATGTCACTGGGTGTCTGTCTCTACAGATTTGTTTTACCTGGGTGTATCCTGCCTTTTCCAAGTCAGTGAGTGCAGAGGGCCTGGATCTCTCTGCTTTCTTCTCCACATTTGCAAGCCAAGATCCACATCTTTTCTCTTCTCTTCCCTTCTCCCTTTTACTGAGAGGTCCCCAAGAGTAAAACTTACACTCCATTCAGATGAGAAACTTCATAGGAACAAAGCCCAGATCCCTTCTCCTCTGTCTCCCAAACTTAGCTCCCTAAAAGCAGGGCCCTGGCCTCCTCCTTCTCCTCTGTCTCCCTACACCATAGTCAAGTGTGCATCTGGGCATCCAAAGGTCTGACTCCCTTCAAATTTTGAGGAAATTTGACAAGGTACTTCTGGCCTTCAAAGTGGCCCACACTGACCTGCACTGGTGAGCTGTTTAATGAGATTGTCTTCCACTATGGCATGGCTGGCGAAGTTACTACCAGCATCAATAAAGGTAGGCAGTGAGCCAGTGGTGAGGGCCTTGAGGCGCTGCATGGTAGTGGTAGGCGGGTCAACCTGAGATCGGTAGAGCCGGGCATGGTGGGGCTGAATCTCCAGGATCCTCTTCAAGGAGCTTAATTTGCCCAGGAAGGGTAGGGAGACAGGAGGCTCTCCAGGTGCATGTGAGTGCTGGGGCTGGGCGAAGTCAAATCGCAGAGCATCTATTAGCACCAACACAACCCGTGAAAATCGGGAAGCCATCCAGCAGGCCCCAGGTTTCCCTTGGCTCCCCGGTGGCAGGGACCCAGGGCCTGGAGGCTCTTGGCAGCTGCTATGGTTGGTGAGCTCCATACGGGTGAGCAGGAAGCCACTGGTGAAGAGGGTAATGCCAGTGTAGAAGAGGAAGCAGACCCAGGCCAGAAAGAGCAGCACTGAGGCTTTCTGCATCCTAATAGGGGTGGGGAAGGAAATTCGTTACCATGGGGCAAATAACCAGTGGATATTCTGGTCCCTGAATACAAGCCCAGCTAGAATCACTTTCGCCTGTAAACCTTCCTGGAGATAAACCGTCCCATAGCCAACTCATCGCAATATTCCTCTCCTGCTATTTCCAGGCTGGGCACGGTGGCTCACACCTGTAATCCCAGCACTTTGGGAGGCTGAGATGGGTGGATCACCTGAGGTCAGGAGTTCAAGACCAGCCTGGCCAACGTGGTGAAACTGTCCTTACTAAAAATACAAAAATTAGCTGGGTGTGGTGGCACGCACCTGTAGTCCCAGCTACTCAGGAGGCTGAGGCAGGAGAATTGCTTGAACCCGGGATGCAGATGTTGCAGTGAGCCGAGATGGCGCCACTGCATTCCAGCCCGGACAACAGAGCAAGACGCCATCTCAAATCAAAATAAAACCTATTTCCAGTTCCCACCCCAGATCTACTGAATCAGGATCTTTGAGGGGTGGAGCGTAGGAATGTTCACATAATACAGGCAGGAAATCCTAACGCTGAAAACACACAGTCACGAGGGCAATTTATTTCAATTGGTAGCCAGGCTCTCTTACAGGCCGTTTCTGCGCCTCTCCCCTCGCCAATCTCAATGCCCACAAGGGTGGAAAGGGATTGAAGCCGCAGGGGAAACCGGGCCCAGCCGACGGCGCCGCCTGGTGGGGACCGAGGGGACGAAAGGGAGGAGTCACGCCCCGCTTCCGGGCAGCCAGGTTCGCCTGGAGACCTGAGGTACGATCTTTGCCCAGCAGCGAGGCAGGGGCGCGGGTCGAGAGCCAGTTGGGCCTCGCTGGGACCTAGGCGCCCGACCAGCTCTGCCTTCTCTGGTAGCTACCCAGCCTCCCGCTGGGTACCCTAGCTGCAGTACTGAGCACCCTTGGTTGGAAGCTGAGGGGAAAGGGAAGATTCCCTTATTTCAGGGTGAGGGGAATACGGGGGGTGAGGTTCTCAGGAGACGCTGGCTCACCTGCAACAGCACCCGGAAGTGCGACGGTGGCGGCGCCTGCGGCCTGGTACCACAGAGGTGCGCGCGTCAGACAGAGCGGCCCTCTGGTGGCTCCATCGCCATCTGCCGGCACCTCGGTGGAAGTTTGGCCAGGAGCGTGGGGCTGGCCAGAGTTTGATGGGAGATTTAGTAATTGAGAACTGTGGCTAATGGACCAAGCTGGAGGAAGAGTTCGGGGAACCACTGTCCGTTCATGGTTACGACTAAGAGCACGGCTGCTGGAGTCAAACTTAACTTGAATCCTAGCTCGGCCGCACATATTGTCATTATTAGGCATTACCTCATCTGTAAAGTGGAGATAAATAATACGTATTTTCCGCTTTTTGCTTAGCTGAGTCCAACTGAGATTTCATTACTCCTCCTCTCAAAGCCTCTAACTGAATCTTACAACTGAATAATTAAGCAAATAATCCTTTGGAGTAGAGGAGGGGAGGCCGGCCAGGCGTGGTAGCTCACGCCTGTAATCCCAGCACTGGGAGGCCGAGGCGGGTGGATCACCTAAGTTCAGGAGTTGGAGACCAGACTGGCCAACATGGTGAAACCCCGTCTCTACTAAAAATACAAAAAATGAGCTGGGCATGGTGGTGCATGCCTGTAATCCCAGCTACTCAGGAGGCTGAGGCAGGAGAATTGCCTGAACCCAGGAGGCGGAGGTTGCGGTGAGCCGAGATCGCGCCATTGCACTCCAGCCTGGGTAACATGAGTGAAACTCCGTCTCAAAAAAAAATAAAAAATAAAAATAAAAAAATAAAATAAAATAAAATAAAAAAATTAGCCGGGCATGATGGCGGGTGCCTGAGATTCCAGCTACTTGGGAGGCTGAGGCAGGAGAATCACTCAACCCCGGGAAGCAGAGGCTGCAGTGGCCCGAGGTTGTACCACTGCACTCCAGCCGGGGCGACAAAGCAAGATCTTGTCTCAAAAAATAAACAAACAAAACAAGAGTAGAAGAGGGGAAAAAAAAATTATCAAATTAAATCAAATTAATGGACAAAGAATTTGATTAGACATTTTTCCAAAGAAGATATAAAAATAGCCAATAGACACATTGGAAAGAGGCTTACTATAAGCCATCAGGAAATGCTGGAGATACTGCTTCGAACCCACGAGGATGGCTGTAGTCAACAAGTGTTGGCAATGAGAAATTAGAACTCTCATAGGCTGCTGGTGGGACTGTAAAAACAGATAATTCAAAATGATTAACATAATTATCAAATGACCCAGCAATTTCAGTCCTAGGTATAAACCCAAGAGGAATTAATATTTATGTCCAAAGAAAAACTTGTACATGAATGTTAATAGTAGCCTTATTCATGGCTGGGCAAAATGGATCACACCTGTAATCCCAGCACAAAATTTACCCAGGTGTGGTGGCATGTGCCTGTAGTACCAGCTACTCAGGAGGCTAAGGTGAGAAGATCACCTGAGCCTGGGGAGGTCAAGGCTGCAGTAAGCTGTGATCTCACCATTGCACTCCAGCCTGGGCAACAGAGTGAGACCATGTCTCAAAAAAATAAATAAATAAAATAGCCTTATTCCTAATAGCCAAAACGTGGAAGCCCAAATCTCCATTACTGACAAACTGATAAACAAAAAAATGGTGTATTTATACAATGGAATATTGTGGAGGGGGTCTCTGAAACAGTTGTAAAATTGTGGTGGTTGCACAATTCTGTGAATATACTAAAAGTTACTACATTTATATTTCATTTTATTTTTTTTATTTATTTATTTTTTGAGACGGAGTTTCACTCTTGTTACCCAGGCTGGAGTGCAATGGCGCGATCTCGGCTCACCACAACCTCCGCCTCCTGGGTTCAGGCAATTCTCCTGCCTCAGCCTCCTGAGTAGCTGGGATTACAGGCACGCGCCACCATGCCCAGCTTATGTTTTGTATTTTTAGTAGAGACGGGGTTTCACCATGTTGACCAGGATGGTCTCGATCTCTTGACCTTGTGATCCACCTGCCTCGGCCTCCCAAAGTGCTGGGATTACAGGCTTGAGCCACCGCACCTGGCTACATTTATATTTTAAATGAAAGAATTGCATGATGTGTGAATTCTATCTTGAACTCCTGGGCTCAAGCAATCCTCCAGACTCAGCCTCCCAAAGTGTTGGGATTACAGGCGTGAGCTACCATGCCCACCCTGATGTGTGAATATTTCAATAAGGCCACTATTAAAAACAAAGTCTGGGTGAGGTGGCTCACGCCTGTAATCCCAACACTGGGAGGCCGAGGCAGGTGGATCCCCTGAATCCAGAGGTTCTGGACCAGCCTGGACAACATAGTGAAACCCCATCTCTACAAAAAATACAAAATTTAGGTGGACATGGTGGCAGGCACCTGTAGTTCCAGCTACTCCAGAGGCTGAGATGGAGGGATTGCTTAATCCAGGGAGGTAGAGGCTGCAGTGAGCCTATCAGGCCACTGCACTCTAGTCTGGGCACCAGAGCAAGGCCCTGTCTTTTTTTTTTTTTTTTTTTTTTGAGACACAGTTTCGCTCTTGTTACCCAGGCTGGAGTACAATGGCACAATCTCGGCACACCGCAACCTCCGCCTCCTGGGGTTCAAGCAATTCTCCTGCCTCAACCTCCAGAGTAGCTGAGACTACAGGCACGCAACACCATGCCCAGCTAATTTTTGTATTTTTGGTAGAGATGGGGTTTCACCATGTTGACCAGGATGGTCTCAATCTCTTGACCTTGTGATCCACCCACCTCGGCCTCCCAAAGTGCTGGGATTATAGGCGTGAGCCACCGCGCAAGGCCCTGTCTTAAAAGGCCAGCCGGGTGTGGTGGCTCACACCTGTAATACCAGCTCTTTGGGAGGCTGAGGCAGGTGGATCACAAAGTCAGGAGGAGTTCAAGACCAGCCTGGCCAAGATGGTGAAACTCCATCTCTATCTCTACTAAAAATACAAAAATTAGCAGGCCAGGCGTGGTGGCTCATACCTGTAATCCCAGCACTTTGGGAGGCCAAGCAGATCACAAGGTCAAGAATTCAAGGCCAGCCTGGACAACATGGTGAAACCCAATCTTTAAAAACAAAATAAAACAAAAATTTAGCCAGGCACAGTAGTGGGTGTCTGTATCCCCAGCTACTCTGGAGGCTGAGGCAGGAGAATCACTTGAATCCAGGAGGCGGAGGTTGCAGTGAGCCAAGATTACACCTGTACTCTAGCCTGGGCAACGGAGCAAGACTCCATCTCAAAAATAAATAAATAAATACAAAATTTAGCCAGGCATGGTGGTGTGCACCTGTAGTCCCAGCTACTCAGGAGGCTGAGGCACGAGAATCACTTGAAGAGAAGAGGCTGAGGCTGCAGTGAGCAGAGATCGTGCCAATGCACTCCAGCCTGGGCGACGGAGCAAGGCTGTCTCAACAAAAAAAAGAATTTGGTGTAAAAAAAGAAACAAACCAAACCAAAACCTGTCCAAGAGTTTCTCATCTCAGAGTAAAAGTTCTTGCATTGGCTTTACAGGGCCCTGCACACTATCTGCCTCCTCCTTTTCTGATTCATCTAGCTGCCACTTCTTTGCTTCCCTAACTCTGTTCCATTCACAGCAGCCCTGCCTCAGGGCCTTTGCATTTGCAGTCTCCTTTGTCAGCTTCAGTTCCAGATGCCCAAATGGATCTCCATCACCTTCATATCTAAGCTCAACTGTAACATCAGTGAGGCTTCCTGGAATCCCCTACTTAATAGTACAGCACCTTCTACCATCATATCCCCTGCAAAAATTCCCCCTCACTTCCTTAATTTCTTCCATAGCACAATTCATCAGCATCTGAAATTCTACACATATTTATGGTTTGTCCCCTCCAAGTAGAATGTGAGTTCGTTGAGGTCAGGGAATTTTGTTTTCTTCATTATTATATCCTCAGCGCCTAGCATGTAACCGAGGTTCAGATACTGACCAAATGAATAAAGGAATACATTAATTCAAAAAGATGTTGAGTCATTCTTCACCTTTATCCCGATGGCCCCTTATCTCAGTTCAGGCCTCATCCCCTCTCCAGGATCACTGAGACAGCCTTCTCACTGTCCTCCCAGCCTCCTATGGCTCCCTACTATCCCTTCTCCACATTGCAGCAGAACAGCTCTATCTAAAACATTAACATGATTACTTTTCTTTTTTTCTTTTTTGTAGAGATGGTGTCTTACCGTGTTGCCTAGGGTGGTCTCCAACTCTTGGGCTCAAGTGATCCTCCTGCCTCGGACTCCCAGAGTGCTGGGATCACAGGTATGAGCCACCGTGCCCAGCCAATGTGATGTTTTATCTTAAAATTATTCATGGGAAGGGAAAAAAAAAAACCCTTCATGGTTTCCCTATTACTCAAGGGATAATGTCCAACCCCTTCACAAGAATCTCGCTCCCTGTGACAACCCTTGCCATGTAGTCACATCCCCCTTAACACTATACCCTTCAGCCAACTTCTTTCAAGCAATGAGGCTTTGTATATTCTGGTCCAGGACCTGATGAAAACATGCTAATTTTTTCAGCCTGAGCACAATGGCAGTCAGCAACCCTGCTACTCACAAGCTGATATGCTCCTCCCACCAGGATCCCAAAGCCAGAACTTTCCTCTATCATAGCATTTCTTTTTTTTTTTTTGAGACAATCTTGCTCTGTCCTAGGCTGGAATGCAGTGGCATGATCTCGGCTTACTACAACCTCCACTTCCCAGGTTCAATCAATTCTGCTGCCTCAGCCTCCAGAGTAGCTGGGACTACAGGCGCACATTACCACGCCTAGCTAATTTTTGTATTTTTAGTAGGGATGGGGTTTCACCATGTTGGCCAGGATGGTCTGGATCTCTTGACCTCGTCATCTGCCCGCCTCAACCTACCAAAGTGCTGGGATTATAGGCATGAGCCACCATGCCTGGCCACATTTATCACTTTCTATCACTGTCTGCTTCCTGTCTTGTCTTCCTTACCTGATCTTGTATTCTGTGAAAGCAGGGACCACTGGATTTCAGTTGTTTTTGTAATCCAGTGTCTAGCAATGAGCTTGGCACTCAGCAGACATTCAATGTTTTTGAATAAATGAATGAGTACC